TTCCTTTTCGATATGCATGCTCCCTAAGCTATCACTCTTGACCTACTGGGATGAAAAAGAAACATGCTTATCCTAAAGGCGTCAAGGATACATCCTCTCATATGGGACCGGAAACACATTTCCTGTCTATATTTATACCCCAGGCACATAGACTAGAAGTACGAGGATGAGGGCTGTTGACACAGGATCAACCAGGAAGGAGAACTGGACGTAACCTGGGATTCATTTAGCTATGTTGCCTATAACAGTCAGCTGGGTCTAAGCTTTCATTCTCTTACCTGCACTGAATAATTCAGAGAGTAAGACCTTCACTTTTCTTTGCTCCAGTTTTCTGAAATTGCATAACATATTCCAGTACTCAAATCCTAATCTCCAACTTAAAACTGTGAAATATCTTTCCTTCTCTTGTATTTTTCTTATATGATGCCTGTAATATAATATCCTGTGTAATACTGGAATAGCCTTGGTGATCAAATCATGTAAAAATACAATTTGCCAATCTTAATAAAGAGAACATTTCAAGTATCTCTATTTGTTGTGGTTATTGGGTCTTTCGGCCCACCTTACTGCAACCTGACAACTTGTTGGTAAATCTAAATTGGACTCCACAATCACATGGAAAAGTGTAGATCCTGTTTAATGCTTATTAAACCCAAGAGGAAAAAAGTAATATTTTATTAGCTGCATTCGTTTTCCTTTTTCATGCCTTCTTCATTTGCACCTGGTGATCCTGCCAGTACACTCCCTGTCTAAGAAGGTAGCAATGTTCACTTATTGTACTGTATCTGTGGAGGAGTAACATTGTCAAATTAGGCTGCTCTCCTGATCTAGATTTGAAACACCTCCCTACTTCTCATTTTATAACATGGGGAAGGTGTTTTGTAGTTTCCAGAAGAGAATTGGAAAGGCTGATAACATTGAGATTTCCATTCACTGCACATGGGGTGAAATGACATTAGTATTCTGGCTGGATCAGCAGGTATTTTCTATACTTGCAGGAATGTTTTTAGCCTGAAAAAAAAGCAAATGCAACCCCAACATCTACGGGGTGACAAGCTGAAATATAACAATTGTTTGTACTCCCCATAAAATCCTTTTCCTGGAATACATTAACCGCTTAAAGACCAGGTGTTAAACCCCTTTCCTGACCAGGCCATTTTTCAGTATTCAGCGCTGCGATACTTTGACTGACATTTATTCCGTCATGCAATGCTGTACTGAAATGAATTTTATACCATTTTTTGGGGACAGATAGAGCTTTCTTATGGTGGTATATAATCACCACTGCGGGTTTTTATTTTTTTACTATATTCAGGAAAAATTACTGAAAATTTTGGAGAAAAAGGTTTTTTTCCCCATTATGTTATAAAACAACTAATATTACCCACTTTTTTTGTAAAATATAAAAGTCGGGGTCACGTCGGGTAAATAGACACCAAACATGTCAAGCACCCTGCGAAATCGCAAAAAAGTAGCATACCCAAAATTGAACATAGGCGACGCTTTAAAAGCTTTTACAGCTCATCAGTTTAGTGTTATCAGTGATTGATGGCCCTAAAATTATTGCTCTCACTCCGACGTTCGCGGCGATATGTAACATGCGGCGTAATGGGCGCAATCGTCGTTTTCGCAGGTATGCGCACCTGACGCATGTATACATGCGTGTATGTATGGGTGGGGACTTTTTATTCTCTTTTATGTGTAACTTAAAAAAAAAATGTTTGGGGAAACTTTAATTTTTTTTCCTATTTTTTTCCACTTAACTTTATTGCTGTCACAGAGGGGGCTAAGAAACCCCTATATGTGATAGCAAAAGATGTGACAGGTCCTCTTTATGGAGACATCAGGGGTCTCCAAGACCCCTAATGTCACCTAGGACCCCCCTGAAGAAGCTGATGAAGCACAGATCTGCTTCATCAGCTTCTCTCCAGCGTCTGAAGCTGGAGAGTGACACGAGAATGCGGAAGTGATGTCATATACGACCTCCCTCTGATCCCCTGTGACACAGGCACTATGCTGGTCCCGGGCTCGCACCGGGCACAGCGGAGCACGGGATCAGCGTGACAGCGAGAGTAGGGGAGCCGCGGTGGGGGGCGCACATACCGGGACCTCATACAAGCGATCCGCCGGCTCTATAGCCGGAAGATCGCTTGTATGTTAACAGGCATCACTGCCGGTTTTTAAATTGTCTTTCCCGCTCGTGGCGCGCACGAGTGGGTGTGTATACACGGCCAGTTACATCCAGGCCAGGAGGTAGTTAAGGAACACAAAGTCTTTTAAAGCTCATCTTCGGGCAAACCGAAAAACTACCCTTGCAGTGGGGCTACCCGCACACTGCCAGAGTTTTCCCGGTCATACGGGGGGCTTACCACAAGCACTGGAGCAGAAAGGTGGAGGGGGGAGACAGGTGTTTGCATATCTTATGTGTGATATGCACTCATATCCTCACTCCAGTCCTAGATTATTCCGATTCCCTGTCAATTCTACAATTCAGAATAATTGGCAGAACTGAAGAATTTAGGTCCAAATAGCCAAACCAGAAAAATTCTACCATTTAGCTCACTTTCCAAATCGTTTATATTGGTCTAGATCTTCAAATTCTCCTAGCAATTCACCTTTTAGTGAATAGACCTGCTATTTTGAAAAAAAAAAGTGTTGAGAAGTAATTTCTATAACACAAGAATGTATATGTGGGTGGGGCTTGTATATGGGCAGAGCACAAGGGGGGCCCCATCAACTCTTATTGCCCGGGGGCCCCATGTGATTTCAGTCCGCCCCTGGAAGGGTTCAAACCTGAGACCGGAGCGTGTCTGGACAGTCGGAGACGCATCCAACAGAGCCCTTGAAAACTGTTCTCTCAACAGGATATTGTTTAAGTTTCCAACGACATACCACAAGAGCGCACCAGGGCTAATACTAGGCCAGCACCTTGGTAAATACCTGCACACTAGAGGTGGAAGAGCAGGGCCACAAACTCTTAAGTGTAGGGGCCCTGCAGCAAAGTGTAGGAATACCTGATGCACTGGAAAGATGGCAACATGTACGTAAACATCTTTGATCTCCCTGGTGAAGGGAGGCAATGACAGAATTGTGTGTGTGTGTATTTTTCCATGTGTGGGGGGGGGAGGGTTCTCTCTCTCTCTCTCTCTCTCTCTCTCTCTCTCTCTCAATTGGTGGTCTTTCTGAATGACCCTATTGCATTGGCGGTCAGATTAAATGCATTTGTCAGTGGCAATTTCAATGTTACATTTACCAATGTATATTCTTCTGTTATATTGGTGGCCAGTGTAAATTCCCCTGTTGCATCAGTTCAGTATTATTTCCCCCTATTACATTGGTGGTGGGCGGAAATGCCTTCATTACATTGCTCTGCAGTACTAGGATGTCCCTGTTCTATTAATGGTCAGTAAACATCGCTCACACACTCGTGATTAGTCGGAGAAAGCCCAATTAGACTGATGTCATTGATTAAAGGGTCCTTATTCACTGGATTTAGTGGTGAAAATGTGGTGGTCTGTGGTTTAGTGCCATTCATGTCAATGGCACTGCAGACACGCCTCCCCCGCCCGCAGTGCGATCGGCCACACAGGACCGTGCGGTAATACAATGCCGTGCATTCCAGTGCGGTACGATCGCAAACAATCGTGCATGTCCCAGAACACAAGGAGACTTTGTGTATGCGATCCCTTGCATTCCGGGCATGGGACAGAGTGATGAGCGCACGGGCTGGTGGAAATGAGTCCTTACTCTGCAGTCACAATCTGCGAGAAGGACAAGACCTGTAAGTGTAACTAAATGTCCGGGTGCTTATCTGCTGCTAGGGTATTGCTCCCTCATTGACCAAGCAAGCGAGAGGCTGCTCTATCACTACTACCTCTCTGGCGAGGAAGATTCTGCAGTCTTTTGACCAGTGAGGGGACAATGTCGTAGCAGCAGGTAGGTAGTTTCTTTAGTTATCTTGTTGTTGTCAGCAACATGGCCTCAAGAATGTAACCATGTAACCACCCACAGATAAGGTATAGAATATCCAGCTATGGCAAACACAAAGCTATGGAAATATGGGAAGGCTACGGTAACGTGTTCAGAGAGTATCTGTAAATGGCACCTTTGCGGACTGGGCTAGTGTAATGAGCGGTGTGCCTCAAGGATCTGTGCTGGGTCTGATACTGTTCAACCTATTCATTAATGACATCGGGGAGGGAATAACTAGCCATGTTTCCGTGTTTGCAATAGTGGTCTTCACCAAAATGGTTCTATCAGATTCTGTGGATTACTTAAAAAAGGTAAACATTTAAAAAGTAAAATATAAAGGGGTACTAAGCATGTTAAAGGATTGATCAGAGTATAGGGAAACAGTTGAATTTTCCCCTGACAAAGCAAACAGTGCCACGTTTGAGTTTTATTTATTTCTCTTCTGTCTTGGCAATGGTTTCTGAGGATGCACGGGTATTCAGGATTTATTTTTCTGGTTGAACTTGATGGATCTATGTTTTTTATTTTATATAACCACCTATAACTTTTTACTCCAGTGAAAAGACAGCAAGAGAGGAAGTAAAACAAACAGTGTTGTGCTGAATGCATTCCTCTTTAGATCTATTGCCCATACCCAGGATTGTGAGGCTATTATAAATAACCTGCACTTATCAAACATTCCATAAGTCTTTTGTTTAACAATGCAAGTCTGGGCTTGCTAGGTTTACCTGACCTTGCTCAGCCAACTAGGAGCTAAACAAGAAGCTCCAGGGGTCAATTGTGTTTCCTTTGTCAATTATGTTACATGGGACATTGCCAAGCACTGTGGAGATAGGGCGGGCGTGTTGTAACCCAACACTAAAGCTAGTAAAATATTTCTCTGATGTTCTGGCTTCTTGTTGGTAAGGCTATGCAGGTCATTTGGTGACAACTACTCGACAGGCTTTGGTAAGACAGCTATGTGACCAGATCAAAATATGCCACTGTGAGACAATATTTGGAGGGGCAGTTATAAATTAACCTTCAGCATGCAGAACGGTGGCGACATCTGCGCATTAGCCTCTGACAATTATCCCGAAAAAATGCTGGAGAGGATATCGCAGTTTCGATCCAACCAGGATCTTTGTGACATAACACTCGAAGCTGAAGGGGTCTTCTTCCCGGCTCATAAAGTCATCCTTGCTTCTGCCAGCTCATATTGTAAATTGCTGTTTCGGGACTCCGGAGCTGACAGCTTCATCCGACTCAATGGCGTCACCGCTAAAGGGCTCCGCAATATCCTGGATTTTATCTATTCAAACAAGCTTTCCCTGTCATTGTCCAATATTGAAGACACATTGAAGGCAGCAGAGATCTTGCTGGTTCGGGAAGCTGTGAAGTTGTGCTTCCAGTTTCTAGAGAATGGTTTAAATCAGGACACATGTTTGGACATCCTAAATATCGTCAGAAAACATGGTCCTGAAGAGCTCAAGGTGAAGGCCAATGGGTACATTGGCCATCACTACAAACATATTCCAGGACATTCCGGAAATCTGAACCTAGTAGACAAGAGGACACTCTGTGAAATACTAGAACGGGAAGAAGTCCCAGGCTGCAGTGAGCTTGAACTGTTCCGTTTGGTAGTGTCCTGGTTGCAGCATGATAGCTCCAGGCTAAAGGAGGCAGGAGATGTCCTCAGGCAGATACGTTTTCAACTGATCTCTCTAGAAGATCTCCAGACGTATGTGAAGGAGACTTCGATCATGAAAACAGACTCCAACTGTTTCAGATACCTCCAAGAAGCTCTAAAATACCATTCCCAAGTGTACGCTCAACCTATTCTTCACTGCGAAGGTGCTACCATAAGGTCCAGCACAGAAAGTCTCCTAGTTCTGGGTGGCAGGACAACCGATAACCAAGTGTGCAGCAGTATCTGGGTTCAAAATCAGGATGGCAGCTCTTGGTCTGAACTTGGACACATGCATGCTCCTGTGTACAATCACTGTGTGGCCGTCATTAATGACTTCCTTTTCATCATTGGAGGGCAAACCACATTTGACCCATCAGGCAAATATCCGTCCAATGAGGTAAGAGTGTCATATTGTATTCTTGGTGTGTTACAATAATCCGGTACTTGGCCTGGTATTTTGTCCGAGTCTAGCCTTTAAATCAAACTTAAATTGAAACTCCAAACAATACTTTGTTGGAAAGTATGGGAAAGGCTAGATTCTATGACAGGCTCATATCACTATCTGTGCCAACATTAGATTTTCCCTCACTTCCTGTCCTGGTAACTAAACATAAAATGAGAAAAACGTTCCTCAAAGGGGACACAGACAGCAGTAAAAAAAAAAAAAGCTGACAGAACTTCTATTGCAGGGACAGGCTACCTCAACAAGCCAAATCTACAATGAGGCATTAAAAGCCACAGCCAGCCACAGTCCCAGAGGCAGATCCATGATGGGATTTGTAGTTTCCCCACAGAGTACCAAGGCTGTCTATGCCTGTTTAATTCCTTCCTTGGGAATTACATAAATATTGGGCAAGTAAACTAAGCTTTGTAAACAATAAACAGGGTAATGGTACTTGCTGCTGATAGGAGGTTTATTAACCAAATAGAAGGCACTAGCAACACAACAGAACAAGAAAACTTGAAAGTGTCTCACACTGGTGGTGGTTACTTGAGTAAACGTAAGATTTTCTTGTGATGTTGTTTTGCCAATGTTTTTTTTTTTATTTTTTTGTAGTTTATACCCACGGACCAGCTAGCCCCATTCTCCCCCAATACGCTGGCTAACACACAGGGTCCTTGCCCCCTCCATGGTGCCCCCAGCCCTTCCATAGCACACAGGGCCCTGATATCAGTCGACCTCTAGCCTCTGCCTACATATAATTGTAAGTATATCTGAATAAACAGCAATAATTCACAGATTCCACACTGAAAGTGTAGTAGGTATTTACCACTGTAGCAATAAGCAAGTAAGGATATTCAACAATAAAATCCTCACTGACCGCCACTGACTCGTATCCAGGCTCACTCAGCTACATACAGCTCCTTTAGAGATTTTCTTGTAAATCAATAGCCAGCTGGTAAAAAACAGGGTTGTGCTCTAATAAATCTCCTTCCCTTCTTATTTGCTCATGAATAACACACTCTTTCATCACTGAATTTCTTTAAGAAGATGTCTATTGATGATATCACTCTTTTTTTACTTACAAGTAGATCAAAACATTGCAAGCGGGCGCAGAGGCGTCCCCCTGAGGCGTGGTGTCACCCAGAGCGGCCACTGGGTGAGACATTTTAATTAGGAAGAAATTGTGAAAAATTTGAAAAAAAAAAATATTTTCCTGTAATTCTTCCCAAAGTAACGTTTAGCCCAAATAGAGCCATCAGCTGGCGGCTTTTGTCTTCCTGGCCACCCGCCAGACCATAGCTCGGGCCTGGAAACCGTCATCCCCTGAACTTTCTGGAGGTAAAACAAAGGGTCATGAGCATAATGGTGCATGAAAAACTAATGGCAATTGTATCTTTATTATCCCTCGTTTTTGAAAACCTGGACTCAGTGGCTGGATTATATCTGCCCGATGAACCTTGACTCTACATTGCTCTCCATCTGACTGTACATGCTGCTAGTAGCTGGTCGGGCCTCGCTGTTTCCCGCGCAGATCTCCCTTTTATCCTTTTCTCTCTTCTACTTCTCCTTATGCTGTCTTTTCCTTTACATTTTAAAATGGTGTTACGTTTTGTCCATTAAGGGGCCACACTGGGGTACTGCTACTAGCACTGCTACATAGCTTCACGGCTATTTGATTGCCTGCCTTATAGCACTCTCCCCATTGGAGTGTCGGGGGCATTATCCCGATGTTACATTTTAAAATGGCATCTGGGACTCAAGTGGTTAAAAAAACAGAAAAAGTACAATCCCACCCACTGGTGTCTACAACCCTAAGGATGATGCGTAATGTTTTCGGGTCCTCAGATCTGTCCCCGGCCCCCTCCCCCTTGACACTTGTTTTTGGGGACCCTGATTTTTCACTCAGAACTGACGACGCCCATTTGCGCCAGGCTCTTCTTCTTGCCAACAAATTCACATTATTGGATTTTATACTGCACTCGGACTGGTTGCCTCTTCTGTCCATATAGGCCCTTGCTGACCCTCCCTTGGACTTTTGGAGCACCCTCCCGCTGCGACAATTTCTCAGGGCAGTTCCGCATGCCTCACGATTGGATAGACCGCTAACTGTCTTTCCAACAGTTGTGCATGGGGAAACTTCCCGTCCGTTATGCCGTATCCCAAGTCTACAAACTGTGGACATCCCCTTCTGCAGACCTCCCCTTACACTTCCTACAGAACTGAGAAACTGAGTTGCAATGCACTTTCACGGATCATCAAAGGGACACTATTCTGGCTATGGCTTTTCAAATCATCTCTGGCCAGCAGATAGGAGTCGGGATACAAAATTCTAACGCATGGTATAGGGTTCCTTAGCTGCTGCATTAGATGAATAGTCCAATTCCAGACCTCTGTTGGAGATGAGGCACGACTTTGGGTACGATGTTGCATTCTGGACGTGCCCTAAAGTGGTACTGGGAATTGTTGAGACTCTGACGGGAGGGGACCTCAGGGATGACCCGGCAGCATGTCTGCTCCACCTCACCCCACATTTGATCTCCAAATATTGACATTCTCCAACACACCACCTGTTGAATGCTGCCAGAGCTTGTATACCCCTGAAGTGGCGAGATGCTCAGCCTTTGAATAGTAAAAAATGTGGATCCGCGCTTATGGGTAGCCTTGATATTAAAGCAGCTGCGCTCTCAACCCTGGGGTCAAAATTTGATAAAGTGTGAAAAATAGCGCTGCACAACTCAGAGATGCTCAGCCTCCTTCTGTCCAACTATAGCTTTCCAGGTTAAGGACATCTACTTGATGGAGGACTTAACAGCCTCTTGAAAAAATACGGAAGGGAAATCCAATGCCACCTGGGCTCCATGGTTGAGCTACAGGACCTCCTCACAGTGCCCTCATCCACCCTCTCAATTCTGAACATGTGCGACCTAATCCCTCACCCATTCCTGATGCTGTCATGTGGGATTGCTTACTTACTGTCTGACTCACACTGATACTCCTTTGCGTTGAGGGCATGGCCCCTGCTAAGGCTTTCGGGTTCTTCCCGATGCTGAGCATTTTGTCCTCTACTCGTTCGCTCCTCATTTTCTCTTCCACCTTCTCTTCCTTTGACCTCGAAACACATCTGACCAAATATACCACTTTTAGTCAAGGGGCTTTTTTGGATCTCTACAGATCCTATTCAGAAACAGCAATTGTGTGTCTTAGATGGCTACGTCTAATTTGTTATTACTTTACATGTTTTGGATTTTTTGTACAATATGGTGCTGTACGTTTACACTATTATAATTGTGGACTTTATATCCTTACTACCAATACTGATTATGTTAAATTGCATCAGTCAATAAAGAATTTAAAAAAAATAAAAAAATTTGCTCATCTGCAAAGAAACTTACCTGTGGGGCCACCCATGCCTGCGATGTTCATTCCGTTGCAGAGCTAAGATGGCTGAAGAATCCTTCATTTCCGGGCATATTAGATGCCTGGTCTATCTCTGCGCTCTGTGGTTTCATCTACACAGGACACAATAGTCGGAAGAGCGCAGAGGTGAACCCGGCCTCTAATATTTCTGGAATTGTAATAGATGCTAAGGCTAATTCAACCACCGTAGCTCTGCAACAGAGGGAAAACTGATGGTGCAAGGAGCAGGACAGGTTAGTATGAACACTTTTCTTTGCAGGAAGGCATTTTCTAGTGTTTGAAAACAGCAACAGAATCACTTTAGGTTTGACATTTGCTGTCTTGTCAACATATGTCTCCTGGCTACTAAGAGTGCATAACATAGTCAAATAAATAAAGCACCATGGTTAGGGCAAATATGAACAGCTATGGGGCTCTATTATGCCTTCCCATAAGCAGAGAGTCAATGTGAGTTTAGGCAGTTTAGGATAACAACTGTCACACCTCATTAGATCACCCTGACACTCAATCTGAAGGTAAAGTAAAGATAAACAAGTGGAAAACTACACATTTTTCACAGGTGAGTCTAAATATTTATTTGATGTGAATATAAATGTGCAGATTATTGCATAAGCCGAATCATTACAGATTATCTTTAAAGTGGCCATAAAAGAAATCCATTCCTGGTTGCTATGGTTTGTATATGAAAATTACTAATTGTATTGACTTCTTGAATGAGCCTGTGCATTTTTCTTTTTATGTTTAGAATTCATGGTGTCCTATAGCGCCATCTAATGAAACAGATTGAGTACTGCAGTGATTTGTTCTGCTCTCTATGAATGTTAAAGTGACACTACAGTGTGTGCACAATTATTAGGCAAGTGAGTATTTTGACCAAATCATCATTTTTATGTATATTGTCCAACTCCAAGCTGTATACACTTGAAGGCTTATTGGATTTAAACATATCAGGTGATATGTATTTGTGTAATGAGGGAGTGTGTGGCCTTAGATCAAACCCAATATCAAGGTGTGTATAAGAATTAGGCAGCTTCCTTGCCTCAGGCAAAATGGGCCAAAAAAGAGATTTAACTGACTCTGAAAAATAAAAAAATTGTAAAAAGTCTTTCAGAGGGATGCAGCATTCTTAAAATTGCTGAGATATTGGGGCGTGATCACAGAACCATCAAACTTGTTGTTGCAAATAGTCAACAGGGTCGCAAGAAACGTGTTTAGAAAGAAAGACGCAAATTAACTGCCAAAGATTTGAGAAGAATCAAATGTGAAGCTCTCAGGAACCAATTATCCTCCAGTGCTGTCATATTCCAGAACTGCAACCTACCTGGAGTGCCCAGAGGTACAAGGTGTTCAGTGCTCAGAGACATGGCCAAGGTAAGGGAGGCTGAAACCCGACCACCACTGAACAAGACACATAAGTTGAAACGTCAAGACTGGGCCAAGAAATATCTGAATACAGATTTTTTAAAGGTTTTATGGACTGATGAGATGAGAGTGACTCTTGATGGACGAGATGGATGGGCCCGTGGCTGGATCAGTAACGGGCACAGAGCTCCACTTCGACTCAGATGCCAGCAAGGTGGAGGTGGGGTATGGTGGGCTGGAATTAATAAGGATGAGCTAGTTGGACCTTTACGGGTTGAAGATGGACTCAAAAATCAACTCCCAAACCTACTGCCAGTTTTTAGAAGACACTTTCTTCAAGCAGTGGTACAGGAAGTCTGCATCTTTCAAGAAGACAATGATATTTATGCAGGACAATGCTCCATCGCATGCATCGAAGTACTCCACTGCGCGGCTAGCCAGTAAAGGCCTTAAAGATGAAAGAATAATGACATAGCCCCCTTCCTCACCCGACCTAAACCCTATTGAGAACTTGTGGGCCCTTCTTAAGCGGGAGATTTACGGTGAAGGAAAACAGTTCACCTCTCTGAACAGTGTCTGGGAGGCCGTGGTTGCTGCTGCACAAAAAGTTGATCGTCAACAGATGAAGAAACTGACAGACTCCATGGATGGAAGGCTGATGACTGTTATTGAAAAGAAGGGGGGCTATAGTGGTCACTGATTTTGTTTTTGAAAATGTGAGAGTTTTTGTAAATTTTGAGTTGTTTATTTATTGTTCTCATTTTACCAGATGAAAATAAACAAGTGAACATTTTCGTTTTCCATTTAGTTGCATTATAATTCTGCACACTAATAGTTGCACGATAATTCTGCAGATATAGATATTCCCCTAAGAAAGCCAAAACCTCACTTTTACTTTCTTAAATATTCAGGTTTGAGGTTTATTAACATTTTGGATTGATCGAGAGCACTGGAGTTGTTCAATAATAAAATGAATCCTCAAAAATACAGCCTGCCTAATAATTGTGCACGCAGTGTAAACTCAGTAGTTAAATCTTAAAAATGCAAATCATCTCTGAATTGGTGCTGACACTGTCCTTCCTTCTGGATGGTGGCTACCTTTGTTCCCCATGGTCCCTGTGTGTGTTGTAATGTAGTCACCGCTCCAAGCTCACTCCTGTGATGGACTACAATATTACGGTTAGTTTACTAATTTGTATTGAGATTGTAGTCCATCACAGGAGCAAGCTTGGAGTGGTGGCTACTTTACAACACACTTTACAACATGGGGAACAAAAGTAGCCCCCCTCCAGAAGGAAGAACAGTGTCAGCATGAATCCAGAGACTATTTGAGCATCTACAGCCGAGTGATACACAAATAAGATAATATTTTCTTATAGTTGGGGTACTTAAATGCATTTAACGCCTTAGTTTAGTGTCACTTTGATGAAAATTCTTTAAAAGTGTGGTTACCCATCATGTAATTCTTGCAGGTTTTTCGGTTTGATCCACGCACAGGAACGTGGTTGCAATGTGCAGCCATGTTGGAAAAGAGGACACGATTTCACACTGAGGTGATTGGCGAGCGCATTATTGCTGTAGGTGGAGGATCTTTACTGGGTCACCTCACCCAAAGTGTGGAAAAGTACAACCCTGCAGAAAACAAGTGGGAATACACCTCTCCCTTCCCCATTCCAGTGGCAGATCACGCCGGCACTACTCAAAAGGGTATCTTGTACATTTCAGGTGAGTGTGGCTACTGGGCATGATGTCATCTTAATAGGTCATCCCCACAAAAGTGATATTTTAGTTATAGGATGTGCGTGGTGAGCTGACTGACAGCCTCTGGATTATTATATATCTTGAATACTCTAACAGTGAAATCTTCCTGTCATAATTCCCAATTGTATCCGTGTCCACCCGGGAGTTTTGTGTGTTCCTGCTCACCTTTGTCTGTTCTGGCTCCTCTTTTTACATCCTCCATAATATAGAATAACAGTGAGATGGAGAATGGGAGACCCTCATAATAGGCACAGCAGGTGTGCAGCTGGTAATCCTGCGCAGAGGTCTCATCAGTCTCTTGACCATTACATAGTACATAGTATTTGAGGTTGAATAAAGACATTAGTCCATCAAGTCCAACCTATTAGGATCTAAACAACCAACTTGTGCAAACAACTTGTGCGTTCTCTTTTCTCTGTCATATCTCTTTGCATTGTCTTTTCACTTGCAGGGGGTTATTCCACAAACAAGACCCTGAACGACGTGTACAGCTATCTGCCGAGGCTCAAGCGCTGGGTTGTGAACCGTGCCATGATGTGCGCTCGATGTGACCACGGTATGGCCACTATCAGAGACAAGATCTTCTGCATTGGGGGACGCACACTAAATGCGGTAAGAGCCAAGCAACCCCGAAAAGAAGGGAATAAAGAAAACCTATAGGAAGAAAAATATGCAGGTTGACCTTCTGAAAATGACACTCGTCTGACTATCTGTGTTTTTAACAGACCCAAAACAAGCATGCAGATCAGGAAAGTAAAAAAAAAGCCAGATCTTTTTTTCTGCATATCTATTAGAAAGTACTAACACTATTGGATCAGTTTAAAAGACAGGGCACTGATATTTCCAAACGCAGGACACCAAAAAGGTTTCTTTTCATTTACGCTCCCGCTCTCTCTGATGCTGGCCATGTACTAGGTACAGAATTGCCTAGTGTACTTCTAAGATGAAACCCCAGTGACGGGGTTTCCCTGCTATAATATGTGTTCTTGGCTCATCCTACAAGGTCATAGCCTTAGTGTCATCTTCTTGCAGCTGTCTTTTCTTTAACTCATTTATTTTACATTTGAGGCCCAGATTTAAACTTTTATCCCTCCCCCGTCCCCAATACAAGCATGGTGTACAGAACCAAATCTAAATGACTAAGATTTAGCAAGATCACAATTCTGCTTACAGAAGATGAATCTAAACCAAAATCACAACCAGAAACATGTCCACAGAGACAACATAAGTACTATACTGGCACAGGCAGAAACGTGCACAGAGACACAATCAGTATCATACTGGCACAAGCAGAAACATGTCCACAGAGACTATACTGACTATACTCAGGGCCGGTTTACACCAGCTTCGGTGCGCTCCAGCATAATTTGCTGCTGGAACGCACTGGAGCGCATCCTGGCTGGCTTCCTGTGTTCAGGGGCATGACTGACTGCAAGGCCAAGTAACCCTCACCTCCCACCTAAATAACACACTGAACACAGTAATTTCAAAAAACGTAATGTAATAACATTTATTGGAAGGTTGAATGGCAACAGCGATGTAAACATTTAAAATAATCACAGAACATATTATGTATCAAGAACAAAATACTTCGGTCCCTGACGAGTGCCAAAAAACACCACTCACCGCTTACGGGGGGTGTACCATGACCTATTGTTTACTGTACCAGCCACCGGCCGCCCATATTCTGGCCCGAGTGGGTACGCCCACCAACAGTTGCTCAAGTTCTTACTGGCTACCAAGCTATAGAGCGCAGTAGCCCCACCATTGGCACTTCCCTACTACTCTGCCCCTTTTCACTTTGCGGAGAGCCAGTTCGTCGTCGATGTATGGGACCGCCAGGGACCCACCCAATGGACGACCAACCTAGAAGAAAATGAAGTCAGACATATCTCCCAAAACACAAATTCCACCTTAAATGCAGAAAAGGAATACCCATAACCCTAACTAGAAAAATTGTATCCCTCCTCCCCAAATTCCACACTTGCGGAAACTAACCCTTAGTAAACATAAAAACAACAAGCTGAAATACTATCGGGGAGGGTGGGTGGGACTGATTCCTTTTCTCTCCCACCTAAAATGGTTCCCTACCTCACACTGTACAGTAAGATGGCCCCCTAACTCCACTCCCCAAGCTAAACCCACCTATCACTATGCTAGCTGGCCCCTCCCTCCCCCCTTTTCAAACCCAACAGAAAAAACACCCTTCCATCCAATACTCACCTAACTCCTTCTTGTTCAGGTCTGACCTGCATCAGTCATATCTCTTCCTCCGCCTATTGCTCCGCAGGAAAACTGGAGGGGGCGTGGTGGTGTATTGAAGTCAATGGCACCGTAGCAATGCCTGCCGACCGTAGTGCGATCATCCACACCAGAACGCGTGGCAAAACAATGCCGCGTTTCGGTCCAGTGTGATCTGAAAATATGCTGCAAGCACTATTTTTTCAGATCGCACTGGACCAGAACAGAGGGCATTCCTGTACCTCACGTTCCAGTGCAGGCAATCGCACTGCGGGCGGGGGACGTGCCTGCGGTGCCATTGATAAGGAATGGAACTGCCACGCCCCTCCTCCGAACGCCGGCAGGAATGTGCTCCCGTGCGTTCCAGCAGCGAATTGTGTTGGAACGCACCAGAGCTGGCGTGACAGGGCCCGGACACAACCAGAAACCTCCACAGAAACACAATCAATATCATACTGGCACAAGCAGAAACGTGCACAGAGAAACAATCAGTACTGTACTGACAAGCAGAAACATGTGCACAGAGACCCAATCGGTACTGTACTGAAACAAGTCTTCAGAGGCACTACCAGTGTCGTTTATTCTTTTGGTGATTCCGCGCTGGATCAGTGAAGTGTAAATAATCTAAATGTGATTACTACGTGCTAAAGTGAATAATTTGAAGGCTGCAGCAAAACTGACCTTCAAGCCAAACACTATGAAATTTTAAATATGCCACGCCCACAATACTCAATCAATGTGTCAGTGTGAGAATGAACTGTGATTGGATCGTGAACCACACAACTAACAGTTCATTCTCACACTACCAGTGTCGTACCGACATGAGCTGAAGCATGACTATAGAGAATCAACAATATAAAGGACAAAGGAAGACAATACAGTATGTCTGTAGAGACACAATCAGTAACATACTGACATATGCACTTACAGGAACACCCTGCAACATGTAATGCACAGCATGGTGCAGGGAACCCAGTGTCAGTTGGAGGTAAAAATAGATCTAATGTCAGTAAGTTTATCACGCGGTAATGCACGCGATATCGCGGCTATTTACCGCGCGATATCGCTCTCCAATGCATGGCAATGGGGCTCTGTCCGTCGCTGACGCGGGTCGTGCGTCGCTACAGCAGGACTCTTTTTGGAGCGGATTTTGCCGCGATTCTAGCTTGATGTAGCGCAAAATGCAAATTGCGCGACAAACGCGAGATTTGCGAATCGCTCAATGTAAATGGGGCCTAAGAGTGAAGAAAAATGCCCCAGTGTCATTACTTTTGTGTCACTAGTGAGTAGAAGGAAAAATACCCTAGCATCAGAGGTCAGTAGCAGGGAAAATACTCAGCTCTGGTGTCTGTGTTAGGTGGAAGGGAAAATGCCCCAATGTCAGTAGTTGGGGCAGAAAGAACACCCTGGCGATAGGTGGACAGTATCAGGAACAACGCCCCATCATCAGTGAAAATAAATGCCAAAAAGTTAATGGGAAGTTGGAATAGCAAATTTCAAAAGTTAAACTTTTCCTCTATCCGTCCGGTCATGTGGTAGTCACATGAAAAGGTGAGAAGAAGGACAAGACTTCTCCCCCTGCCCTCACCCTAGGAGGTCTTGGGGCAAATCAGTCCTTGATTATATGGCTTTGTAATGGCTTTAGGGGGGGTGTCTAGGGATTCAAGTGGTGATATCTCAACACTGGAATCCCCAAGGCATACAAAAAACATCACATGATTCAACTTACCAGCTGTTACAGTAAACTGCAGTATCAATTCCAGAGAGAGTTGATCTATGTGGCTAACTCGGGTAACACATGAAATTGGGATGGGATCCTCACTCTCAGATTTGTCTGACGACCATCAAATAGAAAAGAAGTGGGGCGATTTCCGAACTCTTCCTGTTCTGTCTGACACCTACCAAATAGACAAAAGGTGTGTGTGTTTCTTCTCTGTTCTGTGCTCCATCCAAAACTAACAAGAAAACAGATTTGTCTGAAGTTGGATTTTAATCTGCACCATCTACATTATTTTAGGCCAAGGAATGGATCCATGTGAACGAAACAGAGGTTTACTGTCCAGCGGCTGACCAATGGAGTGCCCTGAAGCTTTCTCCTTTTGACTGCTGCCAGTTCAGTATTGTCACCCACCAGTCCAAGCTCTACATCGCCGGAGGAGGCTCCCTAAGACGCATGAACAAAGAGGATGGCGTCTTTGTATACGACCCAGAGGCTAAAGCGTGGAAGAAGACAGGGTCGCTACCCAGACCCTTGGTTGATCACGCTTTCTGTGCCATTAAGCTTCCACATAGAATGATGGAGAAACAGCAAGTGAAGAAAGAGGATGGGCCTTCCACCCCCAACATGAAGAGATCAACTCTGAATTTATTTATTATTGGCAAAAAAGAGAGAGAGGTATAGGAGGTACATTTACAGGACTGGTAAACCTGAAATAGCAGTTCACTTTATGGGATGTATTTATAAACAAGAGATTAATACTTGCTGCGCTCCTTCCCGGGATTCCCATATGGATGTACAAATGGGTGCTTGAAATGACTGCAGATGGCACCACCAACATGCAGATAGTCAAGAAGTGTCACCAGCACCAGTGACAGTGAATATATCTGTATTTATAAACAATTAGCAAAGCCATTCGTCCTGCGAAGCTGCATGTACATTTGTTCTGTGCGAATGAGGCAAAAATAATTGTTATTTGTATTATTTATTTCCAGGTTGGTTATTATAATCAGGCAAACACCACATTATGGCCCCTAGGTGGAGCAGAGGAGCATAGGAAATCAATATTTATTGTGGCCATAATGTGGTATTTTTCTGATTTACTTTAATCTCATTAATGAATCAATCACATTCCACTTGGAAAGAAAATATACTAATAACATTTATTTTTGCTCCCATTTGCACAGAACTAATGTACATGCAGTTCTGCAGGACGAGTGCCTCTGCAAATGTTTTATCATTTACCCCTATGTGAAAGATCATCTAATCATTCACATCTGTACCAAGCTGGAAATATTTGGGTTTTCATTTAATACATGCAGCCCTTGATTCTATGTTGTCCACCATATTAGGCTACAGAAGGTGACCAGGAACTCCAGCCAGATTAGCCTCTAAAGATTTTATATATACATTGTTATATATTAATAAAGTGTCTGTATAGTGAGACCTTTTTTTGTTGGTTTGGGATACACTAGAGAGGTTAAAACCCCTGTCCCCTTTGGGGAAACATCCTTTCACTTCCTGCTCTGGAAACGCAACAGGAAATGAGAGGAAATCTTTGCAAAGTGAGGGGAATTCCCTTCTTAGACAGTTGTCACTAGACATGTGCGATTCGTTTCGCTCCGAATCGAAATTCGGACAAATTTTCGGAAATTCGGACATTCGGATGTATCCGAATTCCGAATTACAGACATAACGAATGCAAACGAATCCGAATTTCCATTTCCGAAATTCGGTAGCGTTAGTACGAACGTTCGTTTCGTTTTCTGTTCTTATTCGTTTCTTATTCGTTTCGTTCGTTGGAGCAAAGTGACATTAGAGAAGGAGAAAAATATTTTTTCCCCCTCAAATGTCACTTTTGCTGCAAACAAACGAAAGAAACGAATAAGAACAGAAAACGAAACGAACGTTCGTACTAGCGCTACTGAATTTCGTCCGAATCCGAATTGACTTTCACACCCGAATCCTGAAAAACGAGATAACACAAATCCGAATTCAAAACGAAACTAAACAAATTTTTTGGCAGTGCACATGTCTAGTTGTCACCATTGGAATATATACTTTTAAACCTTGTTTTGGTGTCAACTCTACAATTTTACATTTTCCCCTAACTTTCTGTCTTGGTGACAATGGCCACGAAAACAAACAGAGGGTAAATTTAAACCTCTAATGCCCTTGATTGCTAGGATGCACGTGGCCCCCGGATTGCTAGTGTCTTTGTTTGCTAGGAAACAGGCAACCCCTGCTGCCTAGCATCCTTGGTTCTTAGGACGGAGGGCGGACATGAAAATATTAATTGCATGTAATCAGCGGCGGCAGTGATATTTACACATTGGCCGGAGATAGCTGGTAGGCTGCATTATCACGGTGCACTTATACACATGTAAACGTTACGTAAATGTTTAAAATACTTTTAGTGAATAAAACGCTCACATTTGTGCCCGGATGCAGCTGCATCCAATTCAGGGCAACATTTAAAAGAGAACTATGGGGTAAGTGTTTCCCCATAGTTCTCTTAAGGGTCACGGGAGGACATATACTAATGTCCTCCGATTACCCAAAGCTCAGTATACCGCGAGCTACAGCTCACAATGCTGTCGAGATCCACTCAGCTGCGTGAATGACAGCTGGCTCTGCCTATCTAGAGGCAGAGCCAGCTGTACCCACCCCCTCCTCCACTCAGCGCTGGAGGATCAGAGCGGGGAATGCCTGCAGGGAGAGTTGACTGACAATCACTGCTCTCTGCAGGGAGATGATCGAGAAGTGAGCGAGCGACGGTATGCGTTCGCTCACTTCCCGATCTATTGAGCCGACATGTGACAGTTTCATTGTCACACGTCGGCTCCAACTATGAGGTGAGTGATTTTCACTTACCTCATAGTTCTCCTTTAAGCCCTACTTGTAATGTTTATACCATCGGATTCCTGACCTCAGAATCCCAAATGGAACAATGGTGGGTGCTGCAGTGATGAGCGGGTGGCACCACATTAAAAGCAATAAAAAGAAGGATCACTGGTACTCCAGCAGTGAAGCAGTATGTCTTTTTATTGACGTATGTTCACATTATCAAAAAGCAAATGACGATTTGGGGGCCACATGGTATCCCTTCAACACTGTTTGCCTGATGAAGGGACCCTATGCGGCCCCAAACATCATTTGAGTCCTGATAATGTGAACAAGCATCAATAAAAAGAAATACTTCATCATCGTTGGAGTGCCGGTGATTCTTCTTTTTATTATATTTAAGCCTCAGTTGCAGTGTGAATGGGCCCATAGACTTATATACTGCTGAGTACAGATGTGTACAAACCTATAGACTGTACGCATCTCTACGCACTGTTTTTAATGTTTGTATGAATGAGCCATGTCTTCTCTTTCCAAGACAAGATTTAAAAAAAAGTCTTATGTGGAGACCCAACTAAACTACAACTTATTGTACCTTGCTGGGATGTATGCTCAAATACAATAGACTGCTTTTTGTGTGCATTGCAGAGATGTGATGACTATGCTAAAAGTGTGAAATTTGTGTGCTTATAAAATGCAAATGTTATTAAAAATACACAGATGGGATATGATATCAGCTTCCCATGTTTCTATAAATATATAGTGGGAAATTCTTTAAAGCTGAACTGCAGTCAGGAAGCTAAGCATCTGGTTGAAATGCACATACGTGAAATGCAAAAAGAGGGTGATACCACCTTACATTGGGGTAACCTCCCTTACTCACAGTCTGCCAGTTGGACAATGGTGCAATAACACCCCCATAAGTCACCAAATCTGCTCTCTTTGCTCTGAATTTCATCACTCTTGACCATCCCAGGTCTCTAAGCAGGTCAAAAAGGAAGGTGGGACTGCTCCCTATTGTTCACTGTAAAATTGCCCATACACCTTACAACTATCGCAAGACTTTTGTCTTGCGATGATTGTAAGCTAATTAAAAGCTTGTACGATCTGGCCATCTTGGACACGCAGATCGTACTTGCGATGACTGCAATGAGGGGCGGGCTTCCAATGACTGCAAACGGGCAGTGTGCACGTGCACACACAGGCCTGTTCGGCAGTTGTCGAACAAGCAGGCCACTAACCCGCCGGTTTTCAAGCCTGCTTGTTTGACGGAAGACGTGCGACCATACATTGGAAACGGTCGCACGCCCTCCATACACTTTGCGATCATGGTACGATCTCGGGATTTCCCGCGATTCTCATATGATAATCGTACAGTGTATGGGCACCTTAAGTCAGCATCATGGTGTAGGTTTTAAAGTATAACAAATTTTTTTCTTGTTATTTTGGATACAACCCCCACAGGAAATATTTCCCATCACTTTCATTTCTGTCAAGAAGTGAGGGAAAACCCCCCTCATAGGGAAAAGGCAGCAATAAAAACCTGGCAGGCTTACATGGCTGTCATTTACAAACTGGACCAAACAGTTTTCGTTGCAATTGGAACATGAGTTCAAAACTAAACAGCAGCAGCAACAATTTCTACCAAAAGTAACCAAAGAATACAAAATTGCACAAAGTTATTTGTTTTTAGAAAGACAAACACCCTTTAGCTTGTAAAGCATCAAATACTACTAAAAAGACAGTGGAGGGAATTTATCACAACGGGAGCAGACAAAATCTGGAGCAGCTGTGCATGGCAACCAATCAGCTTCTCTCTTCAGTTTGTTCAGTTAAGATTTGAAAATGAAAGAAAAGAGCTGATTGGTTGCCATGCACAGCTGCTCCAGATTTTGTCTGCTCCAGTTTTGATCAATTCCCTTCAGTGTGCTCTGTGGTGCATGCAGTGATAAGGAAATATGTTTTTGAAAATGAAAATTCCCAAACACTTGTTAAAATAGCTCATAGTAGCTTAAAACCTCGGTCAACAGGCCAGATCTCTTAATAAATATATCCGTCCAGATGCATTCCAGCTTTGCAGGGGTCTTTTCATGTCCAGAGATAAAGCCCAGACTATATTGAATGTCCCGAACTTAATCGGAAGCACCAACATCCTAAATGGTGAATAGATGCCACAATGTGTAAAGATAATAAGAAATCGCCTGCACTCCATACAGCGTACAGACCTTGGATGAGAGGTTGGTGCTTGAAGTGACAACACGCATGGCGCCGTGTCAGATACAGTCCATAATAGAAGTCACCAGCAGTAGATGATATGTGCAAGAAGTAAAGCACTTTTTATTCAATCGTCACATGTGTCATACAGCCAACGTTTCGGCGCCACGCAGGGTCCTTCTTCTGGGCGACATAGTGACATAAGCATAGTCACATAATCACTATGTCGCCCCTGAAAGGAAAAGGAACCACCCTAAAACGCCATGAAAACAACATCATAGGATATCAGAGCCAGAGCTCAGGGGATCAGCTGATTCTGCAGGAAACTACAATTTTTAAACATTTTAAACAAGAAGCAGCATTCATTGTAAATTATTTAAACAGCCTTTAGCTTAAAAACCTTTTGACTTTAATATCACTTTGAACGGGGCTGAAAGTTTTCCTGACTGGTGCCAGCAATGCACTTGAATGTTCCCAGAAGCGTTTGAAAAACTAAAAACACATACTTTTCTGGAGAAACAGGATCCCATACTCCTTCCAGCTGCCAATCATATGACCAGCTGACAGACAGGGTCATGTATTCTTCATGTTCATTGTGATTATATATTGCGGGTCATTTGGCAAAG